TTGTCTTTGGCTGTGGATCTTTAAAAAGAATTTTATCTTGGTTCAATTACAAGCCTTCACAATGCTTTATATGAGGTGGCCAGGCTGGGCATGGTGGCTCATGCCTATAATCCCAGCATTTTGGCAGGCCAAGGTGGGAGGTTCACTTGATCCCAGGTGTTTGAAATCAGCCTGGGCAACATAGCGAGATCCCATCTCTATAAAAAAAAAATTTAATATCTAGGTGTGAATGCACATGCCTGTAGTCCTACTATTCGGGAAGCTGAGGCAGGAGGTTCACCTGAGTCCAGTAGTTCAAGGCTATGGTGAGATATGTTGGCACAACTGCATTCCACTCTGGGTGGCAAAGCCAGACCTTGTCTCTAAAGAAAAAGAGGTAGCCAGAATGCCCCTCAGCACCTCAAAAGCACCCTTCTTGTCCTCCACTCTTAATGAAGGTGCATGCACACACATACACGCACACACATCATTCTTCCAGAACCATCACACACTGGCTACCTGCAGACACCTGTCAGGTAGTATACACAGGTGAAGCCAGCCATGATGGATGTAGGGATGTGATGGATGTAGGGAGACCTCCTGGGAGACCCTACTTCACATGCCCTGCTTAGAAGAGGAAGCTGCTACTCAGCCCCAGGGAGCAGAGCCCTGCAGAAGATAGACCCAGTGACTTACACATTTAAAAGAAATGCTTAGCTGAGTGTGGTAGCTCATGTCTGTAATCCCAGCACTTTGGTAGGTCAAGGTGGGTGGATTATCTGAGGTCAGGAGTTCAAGACCAGCCTAGCCAGCATGGCAAAACACCGTCTCTATAATAAATACAAGAATTAGCCAGGCATGGCAGTCACCTATAGTCCCAGCTACTTGAGAGGCTGAGGCAGGAGAATCCCTTGAATCCGGGAGACAGAGGTTGCAGTGAGACGAGATTGCACTACTGCACTCCAGCCTGGGAAAGAGGGTGAGATGCTGTCTCAAAAATAATAATAATAATAATAATAATAAAAGTAAAAAATAAAATAAATGTTAAAAAATCAAAGTTGTATATGGAATTGCCTGATTTTTAAATGTTGACAGAAAAATATTATACACCATGCAAGTCCAACAAAATTTATCAACAAGGGCCGGGCACAGTGACTCATGCCTGTCATCCCAGCACTTTGGGAGGTCAAGGCGGGTGGATCACGAGGTCAGGAGTTTGAGACCAGCCTGGCCAACATAGTGAAACCCCATCTCTACTAAAAAATACAAAAATTAGCTGGGTGTGGTGGCACACGTCTGTAGTCCCCGCTGCTCGGGAGGCTGAGGCAGGAGAATCACTTGAACCTGGGAGGTGGAGGTCGCAGCGAACTGAGAATGTGCCATTGCACTCCAGTGTGGCTGACAGAGTGAGACTCTTTCTCAAAAAAAAAAAAAAAAAGTATCAACAAGCTCCTTGGATGGAGCCATAGGCTGCCAGCTTTCCACTTTTGCTTTCAAATTCAAATGCGTTTTCTGGAAGAATCAAAGCTTTTGCTATTTATATTTTTTTCTTAATCAGTATCACTGTTCATAATCTACTGGATGATTGATAAGATGCTTTCCCATGTATTATTTCATTTGAACGTGACAATCATGTAAGTTACTTGCTTTTGTTGTTGTCAGACAAAGATTTGTGGCAGCCTAGAGGCCAGACAGTGGTGGGCCCACAACCTTCAGCTTCAGACAGGCCTTGGATAAACTTGTCGCTTACTAACAGGGTGACCAGGGTCAACGTCCTCTGTTTCCTTATTTCTAAAATGTCTGACTACTTGTAAGCAAGAGGAATAATGTGAGAAAGAACCTTGCCAGATGCTTAGCACATAATGGGTTCTTTTTTTTTCTTTTTGAGACAGAGTCTCACTCTGTTGTTCAGGCTGGAATACGGTGGAGAGATCTCTGCTCACTGTAAACTTCACTTGAGTTCAAGCGATTCTCCTGCCTCAGCCTCCAGAGTAGCTGGGGTTACAGGCACGTGCCACCATGCCTGGTGAATTTTTTGTATTTTTAGTAGAGATGGGATTTCACCATGTTGGTCAGGCTGGTCTTGAACTCCTGACCTTATGATCCACCCACCTCGGTCTCACAAAGTTCTGGGATTACAGGTGTGAGCCACTGAACTTGGCCAAAATGGATTCTTTTTTTTTTTGAGACGGAGTTTCACTCGTTACCCAGGCAATGGCGCAACTCGGCTCACCGCAACCTCCGCCTCCTAGGTTCAAGCAATTCTCCTGCCTTAGCCTCCCGAGTAGCTGGGACTACAGGCACGCACCACCATGCCCAGCTAATTTTTGTATTTTTAGTAGAGACAGGGTTTCACCATGTTGACCAGGATGGTCTCGATCTCTTGACCTCGTGATCCACTCGCCTCGGCCTCCCAAAGTGCTGGGATTATAGGCGTGAGCCACCGCGCCCGGCCCATAAAGGATTCTTAATAAGTGGTAGCTCTGATGATGGGGACCAACCCCCGAGATCACAGAGGTGGGGACTGGGGGAGCTGGGACTTCAGCTTAGATCTTCCACCACCAAAGGCCTTACCCTTCCAGGACAGGCCTCTGGCAATGGCTGCAGAATAACATGGTATTCTGTAGGGGCTGCATTGTCGGCAAACAAAATCCATTAAGGTGAGGGACTGCCAGGCCGGGCATAGTGGCCATCCCTATAATCCCAGCACTTTAGGAGGTTGAGGCAGGAGGATTGCTTGAATCCAGGAGTTCAAGACCAGCGTGGGCAACATGGTGAAAACCCTTTTCTACCAAAAAAAAAAAAAAAAAAAAAACCCAAAATGATTAACTGGGTGTGGTGGTGCTCACCTGTAGTCCCAGCTACTAGAGAGGCTGAGGCAGGAGGATTGCTTGAGCCCAGGAGACCAAAGCTGCACTGCAGTGAGCTGTGCTCATCCCCTTGTACTATAGCCTGGGTGACAGAGCGAGACCCTATCTCAAAAAAAATAATAATAATAATCAGGGATTGTCTCAGTCCATTTGGGTTGCTGTTACAAAATGCCTCAGACTGGGTAATTGGTACACAACAGAAATTGACTGTTCACAGTTCTGGAGGCTGAGAAGCTCAAGATCAGGGCACCAGCAGATTCCTCATAGATGGTGCCTCCTACGTGTCCTCACATGGCAGAAGGGGAAAGGGGAAAGGGGTCAACACTTCTCTTAAGCTTCTTTTATAAGGGCACTAATCCCATGCACAGTGATGGAGCCCATGTGACCTAATCACCTCCCCAAAAGTCCCCTCTCTCAAAACGATTACAGTGGGGATTCCATTTCAATACATGAATAGTGAAGGGGCCCCTGCCTGTAATCCCAGCACTTTGGGAGGCTTAGGCGGGAGGGTTGCTTGAGCTCAGGAGTTCTAGACCAGCCTGGGCAACACAGTGAGACCCCATCTCTACAAAAGAAATTCAAAACTTAGTCAGGCATGGAAGCATGCATCTGTAGTCAGGCTGCTTAGGAAGCTGAGTTGAGCCTAGGAGTTCAAGGCTGCCATGACAGTTCCAGCCTGGGTGACAGAGTAAGACTCCATAGCTAAAAAAAACAAAAAAAAAAAAAAAATCAAAAATATTGGAGGGACACAAACATTCACATCATAGTAGGGATTTAGGGTCTATAAGATACATTTTTCCACTATATCCCCACGTCTATAAATTTGTTTGTATCTATTTTTTCTAGCTCTATTACATTTTACTTAGAAAGATACATATAATACATTGATTACTAAAAAAAAGCTCTTCATTTCACTTTTTTTCCAATGGGGTGTATGTCTGTGTGTGTGTGTGTGTGTGTGTGTGTGTAAAAGATAATAATGGACAATTACCAAGGTGTTATGAGTGGTTGTTCCTGGGTGGTAAGTTTTCTGGGTGTTGACATTACAGTGGTTTTTATATTCCTTTTATTTTCTTCTTTTTATTTATCTGTAATTATGATTTTGCTCAAATGCTCATGTAGTAAGAAAAAAGTTTGTAAACTATCGAAGATTATCTATAGCATGAAGTCTCTGCCTAGTAAGCCCATGGTACTTAAAGAGAAGTGGAGCAGTGGCTCACACCTGTAATCCCAGCACTTTGGGAGGCCTGAGTTGGGAGGATCAATTGAGTCCAGGAGTTCAGGACCAACCTGGGCAACACAATGAGATGCAATCTCCACAAAAAATTAGTCAGGCATGGTGGTGTATGCCCGTAGTCCTAGATGCTCAGGAGGCTGAACTATGACCAAGCCATGGCACTCCAGCCTGGGTGACAGACCAAGACGCTATCTCTGAAAAAAAGCAAAAAGACTGGAATCCAGCACCTGTAGGTAGCCTTTGAAAATCCTTATTTTATTTTATTTTTTCCTTTTGAAAAATATTTATTGAAGGCTGGGCGCGGTGGCTCATACCTGTAATCCTAGCACTCTGGGAGGCTGAGGTGGGTGGATCACCTGAGGTCAGGAGTTTGAGACCAGGCTGACCAGCATGGAGAAACCCTGTCTCTACTAAAAATATGAAAAAAATTAGCTGGGTGTGGTGGCACATGCCTGTAATCCAAGCTACTCAGGAAGCTGAGAGTCCGGTGTTATGGTGAGCTGAGATCATGCCACTGCACTCCAGCCTAGGCAACAGAGTGAGACTCTGTCTCAACAAAACAAAACAAAACAGCAAAAGAAAAATATCTATTGAGTATAAACAAATGTCCTATACATTAAATATCAAGAAATATTTATCATTAATTACAAGTCAATATGTAATACTGAGGGACCCATAGAATCAAAATACCCACTCATGATACAATAGTGGTAATTCCATTGCAATATCAAACGCGGTAATGATTTGTTCACAAGACACAACCAAACTCACCAAAAAGGCCATCACTTAAACCAACCTATAATACCACAATAGAAAATGATTCTGAATCATAATATGAACAGCTCCAATAATCTTATCTTTGTCTCATCAATTTATCAGGTCATTTTGAGACTGCAGAGTTACACTCTCATAGGTTTTTAAGATTCCATTTCCTTAGTTTTATTTCGAATTATTGTCAACGAATGAAAACAAGTCATACAAGCCAAAGGAACTTTTAAACTAAGTTCGTTTTTCATAAGAAAAAAAGAAATCAAATTTTAGTACAAAGAAAGCATTTCCCAAGCAATGAGTCTCTTAACAGGAAAAAAAAAAAAAAAAGAGCAGTGTAATTAAACTTTCCTTCAAAGAAAGGAAAGAAACGTAATCTGTTTTGGTAAATTTGGAAAGATAAATATTTCCTAGTCCCATAGTAAGTGTTCGTTTTGCAAGATATCCTTCAATGATGCAAATCTATGAAGCAGGGATCTGCAGCAATTCAAATTCATCCACCAGAACTCCATCCTGTTTTATGCTGTTGGTGGGAACACAGGTGCTGATGCTGCCTCATCCAAATAAGAACTGCCTTCATCAGCCAGAAGCTCATCACCCAGTGCATCCAACTCTGCTTCTAGGTCGTCTTCATCCAGTTCTGGGGTGCCGTAACTGCGACTCAGTGCTCCTTGGATTTCATTTGCATCTTCCATCATATCCTCTAGTTGTAATCCTCAGACTGTCGATTTTCACTTGCTTGTATGTCTTTGTAAATCCTCAGACTGGTCGATTCTCACTTGCTTGTATGTCTTCTTCATTTCCTTTACTTCCAGCTTCATAGCATCAACCATGGTCTTGGTGTCCTTCCATGACTGGATGGTATAATTGGCTTGTTCCATGTTGAATGACTGTAGGATGAGATTGTCCCGCTGCTGCTCATACATCTGCTTTTGCTTTAAAATTTGCAAGGCTTTCTGCTTGACCATATTCTTTGCAGGATCCTCTCTCATCTTCTTGATCTGATCCTTATGCTTCACTAGCTCAGCATCCAATCGAGAAATCTTCTTGTCAATGGACTCTGCCCTGCTGTTCACCACGCCAATGCAGTCAGGCTGGGTGGCGGAGACTTGGGTTTCACTTTCCCAAAGAATCGGTTCATCTTGTGCGGCTGCGAAGAAACCCAAACACCGGAACAAAAGCAGAAACTGAAAATCTCTATTCTAGACCCCAAAAAGTTCTGCTTCAGGAGAACCGCTCTTTATTATTTATTTATTTATTATTATTTTTTTTTTGAGACGGAGTCTTGCTCTGTCTCCCAGGCTGGAGTGCAGTGGCACGATCTCAGTTCACTGCAACCTCCACCTCCTGGGTTCAAATGATTCACCTGCTCAGCCTCCTGAGTAGCTGGGATTACAAGCGTGCACCACCATGCCCAGCTAATTTTTATATTTGTAGTAGAGACAGGGTTTCACCGTGTTTGCCAGGCTGGTCTCGAACTCCTGGCCTCAAGTGATGCGCCCACCTCGGCCTCCCAAAGTGCTGAGATTACAGTCATGAGCCATTGTGTCTGGCTGAGAACTGCTCTTTTAATGGGGGTTGGAGGGTACTTCATTTTTTGTAGAGGAACTCTTTTAATGGCATTGAATGCTATTATCAAGTATTAAAGCAAGCCTAGCGACAAGATGTTGTCCTTCCCTTTCATTTCTGTTTCTATTCCCAAATGACAACAGCCATTTGAATCAGAGATACATGTATAGATGGGCCTTGACGTCTCCCATAAGGAATTACTCATTGGGTGTGTTGCAATTGCTTTCAGGATGTCTTTCAATGAAAAGACCGTTTGGCCGGGCACGGTGGCTCAAGCCTGTAATCCCAGCACTTTGGGAGGCCGAGGCGGGTGGATCACGAGGTCAAGAGATCGAGACCGTCCTGGTCAACATGGTGAAACCCCGTCTCTACTAAAAATACAAAAAATTAGCTGGGCATGGTGGCACATGCCTGTGATCCCAGCGACTCAGGAGGCTGAGGCAGGAGAATTGCCTGAACCCAGGAGGCGGAGGTTGCGGTGAGCCGAGATCGCGCCATTGCACTCCAGCCTGGGTAACAAGAGTGAAACTCCGTCTCAAAAAAAAAAAAAAAAAAGACCGTTTGACAGTCTTGGCAAAGCCGTGTCTAAGGCCTCTGCTCTAAGCTGATGAACCTGGGGTCCCTCTGGAGACAGAGTCAAGTGTTCTGAAAGTCTCCTGCTCATGGAGATTTCACATTCTCAATTTAGCCTCTCCTGCCAGACAAATGACCCTAGACAAAATGGCCAAGTTCATTCATTTTGCCCATCCACCCACCATCCAGTGAACTCCTGGCCTCTAGACATCCCTTACCAGTGCCAGAGCCTGGACACCAACTCTGTCCACTGCACCTTCCTTTTCCTTTTAGAAACTTTCCATCTAGATCCGCTTTTCCATTCTCATTCTGAACTTCCTGGGTCTAAATTTCTTCATCAGAATTCCAGCTCCCTAGCTGGTCTCCAAACACGGCAATAGTGAACTTGTTCTTTCCGAGATTGTTACTGACTGATACAGATTTATGAGTGCATGTCCTGGGAAAACATGTCCTTGGAAAGGTGGGGAAAAAAATAAAATTAGAGCAAGGCCCCATCCAAGGAAAGGAGTGGCAAGGTTGTGATCGTGGGTACCACAGGCTGGTAGAGGAAGCGTTTGCCAGCCTGTGCATTTCCAGAACCTGAGTGTAATTCAGAGCTGCAGCGTAACCTGCACGTGGGGCTCACCCTGCTTTTGACATGACATGCTGCAAAGCTGTGCCCTTGGAGTGCTCTGATGACCCTTCTCACTGCCGGGATTTGTGGCCACATTTTCCCTCATCCACTTAGTAAGGCATTCTCTGTTCACTTTCCGAGTGACAGCTGGTGGAGAACAAGAGGCCGGGCTGGGAGGCAAAAGGCTGGATTTGGCCCATTTCCACCCCAACTCATGAAGCAACCTTGGGGACGCACAGTGGCCTTGCCCTTAGCTTCTTCATCTGTAACATGGAGAGATTACACTAAACCACTGCTTCCCAGGCTCTTGGATTTTGTACCAAAATGCTTAAAACAAAGCTCTTTTGAAAAATGTTTTAGATTTATCTTTTAAAAGATACTTTTAAATATATTGTCTAATAAAGAACATAGGTCAGGTGCAGTGGCTCACATCTGTAATCCCAGAACATTGGGAGACTAAACCGGGCAGATCAATTGAGGTCAGGAGTTCAAGACAGCCTGGCCAACATGGTGAAACCCTTTCTCTACTAAAAATACAAAAATTAGCCAGGCGCGGTGGCAGGTACCTGTAATCACAGCTACCTGGGAGGCTGGGGCAGAAGAATTGCTTTAACCCAGGAGGCGGAGGTTGAGCCGAGATCACACCACTGTACTCCAGCCTGGGCTATAGTACAAGACTTCATCTCAAATAAATAAATAGAATAATTTAAGGAGAAGATAAGATATTTTATACCAAAAAGGAAGAAAAATAAAACCTCAGAATAAAGATTGGTCATTTAAATGAATAAATGTAGTTTCTTGAGAAAACTCACTGTAATCTTAATTTTTCTCTTTGGTTGGGAGTCGTTGACATTCTGGCCTGGAATCATCCCTGAGGTCCCTTCCAGCATCATATCCAAGAGTAGGAAAAATTAAAAGAGGAGGGAAAAAACAGCAAACCTTTAGGACAGAGTCAGAGCAGCTCCTTCAAAGCCAAGGAGGATGCTTTAGAACTCGGGATAATTTCAGGCTCCATATTTAAGCAAAGGCTTTGCCATCCAGTAAGACTTTAAGAAGAAGCCTTTAAAAACCCATCTGTTTGCCTTGGGGGACTCAGAGCAAAAGCAAAGTTTCAAGCTGATAGGCTCATGATAATATAACATATTCATTAGGTCATAAAGGGTAAAATACATGACTGCAGGTTTGGAGCTCCTCATTTATACAGCTTTTAGGAAACTCACTTTATATACCCCAGCTGGAATTGCTTCTCCAAAGCCGTTCCCCAGATTGCATAATTGTTCATTATGTCTTCAGGGAGGGTTCCATCTGTAGTCACGAATCCCCATGAAAATTTGTGGGAAAATATCCTTGCTCTTTCATTACATCTAAAATGTGATCACCCGATATTAAAACACAAAGAGCGGCTACATTTTAAAGGTGAACTGCAGAGCTAAATTGAGAGTTGACTTAATCCCATTTTTATGGGCTGATTAATGTCCCGAGTAACCAGGCTGGGAGGAAAGTTAATGCCTTTTCCTTTAATGGAATGCACCATGTTTCTGGCTTTTTCTCAAGGGAGCACATCGCTACCACTGTGGTTTTGTACAGAACAAGACTCAAAGTGACCATCAGAACTTTCCTTGTGTCAAATGGACCCCAAATTATCCATGCACCAAAATTCTTAAAAGTCAGAGTTTCAATCGTTAAGGGAGGAAGAAAGGAAAATAAATGGGAGTTGAGATTCCTTCACAAAAGGCTAATCGTGTCTATTTGTGACAGCTTGAGATCTGAGTTATGTTGAGATGATGTGTAAACTCTGCCTCAGTGGTATCAGTAATAACCATTTGCTGAGTAGCTACTCTGTGCAAGGAATTGTGCCAGGCACTTTGTGTATTTTTTATTTAACCCTCTGAGATCGCTGATATGAGCCACAAAGAGGCAGAGCAACCTGTCAAAGGAGCAGACCTAGGCTTGCCTGACTTATGGGCCCCCCTCGTCATCCCCAGATTGGCCTCCCTGACTCTTTAGTCTCCCGTCTATCCTGGATAGATTCGCTTACCCACCAACGTGCAGCATTTTAAACAAGACATCCTTTCCTTGATCTATTGACTCATCAGTGAAGAAATTAACGTTGTGTAGAACTCTTTCCAAAAACAATATGGCCAGGCTGCCTAGATCCTTCCCCTCAACCTTCACCTTGACCCCACCCCAAGCGTCCTGATATGGCTACCACCCCAAACCCCTGCCCCAGCCTGAGACATGTGGCAATTTCACTTCTTGTCCCTTGAGTCCACACCTCCGCAGGTCACATGCATACCTATTATGGCAAATATCCATTATAAGGCTGGGCGCAATGGCTCATGCCCACAATCTCAGCATTTTGGAAGGCCAAAGAAAGAGGATTACTTAAGCCCAGGAGTTCAAGACCAGCCTGGACAACATAGTGAGACTCTATCTCTAATAAAAAAAAAATACAAAAATTAGCTAAGCATGGTGGCTCATGCCCGTACTTCCAGCTACTTGGGGGCACTGAAGCAGGAGGATCATTTGAGCCTGGCAGGTTGAGGCTGCAGTGAGCTGTGATCACACCTGCGTGGATGACAAAGTGAGACCCTGTCTCACAATTTAAAAAAAAAAAAAAAGAAACAAAACAAAAAAAATTTTTTAATTGGCCAGGCACAGTGGCTCACACCTGTAATCCCAGCACTTTGGGAGGCTGAGGTGGGTGGATCACAAGGTCAGGAGTTTGAGACCAGGTTGGCCAACAAGGTGAAACCCCATCTCTACTAAAAATACAAAAAATTAGCCAAGTGTGGTGGGACGCATCTGTAATCCCAGCTACTCAGGAGGCCAAGACAAGAGAATTGCTTGAACCTGGAAGGCAGAGGCTTCAGTGAGCCGAGATCGTGCAATTGCACTCCAGCCTGGGTGGCAGAGTGAGATTCTGTCTCAAAACAAAACAAAAATAAATAAATAAATAAATAATAACAAAAATTATTTAGGCCAGGCACAGTGGC